ACAGGCGTGACAGCCAGGCTGTAAAGATGGATGGATAGATGAATTACAGATGCAAAGAAAGACATTTAATGGTTTATTAGAGTCAAATTTGTTCCATCTCATTAACTGTTGACGCCACAGATGAACCTTCTTTTCATGTTAATGAGGGTCCAGGAAAAGGGAGCCTCTGTTCATCCTTATGTGGAACAACACCAATAGTACAAGAGAAGTAGTGATGGTGCAGCAATGCTTGAACACATGAATTGTTCCAAACGGCCTCAGGTGCCATATAACCTTGCATCTTTTAATGGTGAAAAGGATGCATAATGCATTTTACGCAATCCAGGCTGTGAAAATAAACAATCAATAAAATCTTATGTTATTACCTAAATAGAGCCCATTCAGCTGGGCTGCATGACGAAGCAGCGTCAACTACTCAACATGAAAAATAAAGTTCAAAGGGAAGGTAAACGTCTCAAGCAGTGGATGTTTCTTGCTGAGACATTGCTCCACCAAGGACTTGCTATTGTGAAACGGCAGTTCCATTCTGCAGTGCATTCTGTTGTTTCCTTTTTTTTCTTTTTTTGGATTAACAGTTCTATATCATCCTTTGTTTAACCTTCCAAACCAACAATTATAAACATATGATAAAATATTAATTGACACACTAAAGGACAGAAATTTGTTATGAGATCCAATGTGGGTGCCGCCAATTCCGTGGCGTGGCAGTATTATACCACGTGGCAATGATGCTCTTCTTTAGGACCCTGACACGCCTCGCCGATTTAGCCAGCGTATGCCCGATGTCCCAGAATCTCCTAAAACGGTGGCATATGCTGAACTTTCTATGTATTTTTTCAATTTTGGGTGTATACATAGCATATTCATAGAGTCCAGAGCGTTTGTCCAATGACAGCCTAACTTATGCATAATACACGGCAGCGTAATGCCCCTGTAATGATTCACAAGCATCATTTCATGGGCATTAAGAAGTATCAGTTAAAGCTCCCTCATAAGTTACGAATAAACGATGCACAAGTTACTCAGAATTTGGATACACTGGACACCTCGAGTTATGAGTGACTTACACTTAATGTATGTCAACGATCAGATAACTTACCTGTAACTTATGGCCCAGGTATGGCATATGCTGGTATATGTCGCGCAATTTTTAAAACTTCTCAACGTGCTTAACGTATGTCGATGTGTGCCAGCGTGTTCAACGTACTTCACCGTGCTCATAACTTATACAAAATGTAAATTTTTCCTTGTATTGTCATTAAAACATTTTCTCAGTTTCCTTTAAATATTTAAACATATTAGTAAGCATATTCATTCAGTTTATGTCTGGATTGACGTGGCATTACAAGGCAATTATGTAGGTTCTCGCTGTATTTTCTTTATATCAAAACCCTGTAAATTAAATCTACTTTGATGCCTGAGCAGTGGTAACAAAGGGGCAAATAATAAGAAATTGCACATTTGGAGTAATAAAGATTTTATTGATCTGTGTGTAATGCAAGTAGATCAGGAAGTGTTTGCTCTGGGATGGAAACCTTACATGTCTAAAACCATTGCTTTATTGTACACTTTTTTAGCTTGTCTGCTATATTAACCAATATGATGTGTTGAACTAGATCTGCTATTTTCACAGCTTTTGTGTCATAGTTTTTTCTTTTTATAAAGTAGGGCATTAGTTCATAAAAAACTAATTTGAATTCTATAAATTAAGTTTTCTGCCCAACAGCAATGATGAACTGCACAGTAGCATTCTATACCCAGCAATTGTAGTATCTAGGCAAGAGCTGTCAGTGTGGTAAAGAATCTGGTTGTTATTCAAAATTGTAAAGGTTCACTTTTTTGTTACATAAAACTGACTAAAACTAGACTAAAACCTAATTAAGTTTTATTCGACTACACCCATCACATATCATTATGATTAAAATGTGACTAAGACTAAGACTTAATCTTAGATGCTTTAAAAAAAAAACACTGTTTGCTACTATCAGCACTTAGCATGCATCAGCTTTGACTGGCTCAACGGAGGAAATTAAAAGCAGTGCAAAAAAACTAATAACTATCAGGCTAGAACACAATGCTATAAAAGGTAAAAACATAATTCAACAAAGGTAGTAGAAATACAATACTAGGAAATCCCTGTGCATACACTTATAGTATTGGTTTATTTAAATAAGAAACAGGATTTTTATTAAATTGAACATAATTTTAAAACCCAAATATAATTGATTATTTATTTTTATTTTTGCCTTATCAAAATTAGGAAAAATAATGTATTTGTTGAACATTTCTTCCTTCATTTATTTTTTTTCTAGGGGGCTGGCTGTGTGTATGTCAGCAACTTTTGTGGTAACATAAATAAATATGCATAGTCCCGTCTTTGGCCTTAACACATAAAACCTTATTTTGAGTTGGGGCCATTGTTGTTGCTATTCGGTAACAATAATGATATTAATTTGATGGGTTAATTTTTCAGATTTACACAAACAAACAGCTTTGAGATTATTTCCCTTGTTCTTCAATCAATTAAGTCAATGAAAATAAGCAAATACTTTAAAATCAAAGGCTGCAGCTGAAGGGTATATTTGGTTATACAGCAAAATCATGTTCAGTCTTAAAAGTGAAGAAACAGTGATTTATTATTATGAAAAACAACTTCCAACAGTGGGTGTATTTTTGGTCAGCTCTTGCTCATCAGGTTAACAGATTTTTCTTCACATAAAGTCTTTGTCATAAAGCTGCATGTAATCATTCCAAAAATCCTATGAGACCTACAGGTGTTCTTAGCATCGTTTATATCTGTTTACTTTTGTCAGCAGCATCAAACTTAAATAATTTATTTATTTATTTTACATTGAAGTACTTGTTACACAACATTAAGTCCTAAATCCTGGTTTAATGTAGGTGCAATAAGTTCACCTCTGTGGGGAATACACTTTACCACTAGTTTCCCTTGTGTGATTTGGGTCCAGAAGTAGAGGCAATGAAGAGCCTGGCAAAATTGCACAAGCTACAAAAAAAAAGAAAAAAAAAAAAAAAAAAGAAGCGCAAACTCCCAGCTGCACACATGAGGAGTGCTAGTGAAAATGACTGCATCCCTCTGGGGAGTGGGCAGTGGGAGATGCGGGACTTGATGAATCAAGGACCTTTTGTTTGCAGCAAAATGATTGCTTCAGAGCAGTTGGAAAAGAACAGCGCGTTGGCAGAGCTTGGCAGGCAGGAGACAGTCATTTGTGGCCATTTAGGTTTGAAGCTCACGCAAAGAGGGACTGAGGAGAGCAAGGTCATTTAAAGAGGATGCAGAGCAAAATGATGTAGCCAATGCAGGGTGTTTAAGTGTCTCTACTTGAATTTAGCTGCAGCTCAGTAAACCACAGCAACACCTGCAGTAGCGAACGAGACACACAGTGGTCTTTATTAGCATATATACACAGAAGGTAAGAGCCAGAAGCAAATTTTGAAATAAAACTTTAAAATTTTAAAATATGAAGATGTGCTGTATTTTCTGACTTTATCAAAGGCTTTTATAACAATTGTGCACAAAAATAAGAAAAATTCTGGTTTTATTGTATTTAACATAAAAATCTGTAGGCCTATATCAAGAGAAAATGCAAGACCAGCCGCCATATTGGAGCTCTACCTGACTGTAAAAAATCATGTTACAAAAAGCTGGCTGCTTTGCTTTTTCGGCGCCAGCTTAAGATGTCTACCCATGAAAAGAATACTGAGGCGAGGAGGCATTCGGCTGGTAGCAATCTCCCCCCTATGATTTTGAGAATCAGTTGCCGGCGATTTACTGCTGACGATTTCACAGCAATGGACAGGCAGACGCATGGTCTCTATAGTGTGTGTTTAAGGGTGATATTTTTTTTGGAGGCCAATATTTGTTTTAAAATTACCAGCTTCTACACAATGCCAATAAATATTTACAAACAATGAAACAAATCAAACAGGGAATTAGGATTTTGTGGTTTGAATGTCAAACAAAAAAAGGCTTCAGTTTAGAACAAAACAAAGATATCCCCCCTCATATATAGATATACAAATCTATATATGCAGCGAAAAATGTTTATCAAAGAATAAACATATATTATCCCCCAGGGGAAATAAATTTGCCATATTCTTTGGAATATCATCTGTTTCTAAATCCTAATCTTATGTTTCATACTAATAGACATGTTGGTAATTGAAATTCAGTTTTGTTAAAACTGAAATAAAATATTAGGTTAAATGAGTTAAGCCTATATATTTTATAAACATAATTATGAGTAGTTTTGTAAAGAGACCGATTTACATCTGATGAATATATTTCAGTACCTCGGACTCACAATAACTGAACTCCACTGAATAATATAGGTGGGTAGGACACAACTGAAAATGTAGGAACACATCAAAAGCTATTAAAGAACAATATAAATGAGCATAAAATTAATTTAACCTGTTCTGTTCATTAAATGGGCAATAATGACTTTGACCTCCATTCACACACACACAGATGTCTTATCAAATATAATTTTAAAACAAAATAAGACAAATTATGAAAAATATCAGCTGCTATTTTAAAAGTAAGATATTCAGCATCATATAAATATATAAAACAGCAAAGAAAAAAATGTGGATTAAGCACCAGCCTTTTAAAACAAACAAAAAGCAGAAAAGTGCAAACAGGATAATCAATTCCCATTCAATAAAACTGCTTAATGTTTTTTTTTTTGTACAGTTTTTGCTTTATTGTATGCTCTATGCCCCTTAAAAAGAAAAAAAAAATAAAAACTATTGGTGTGTATGCAAAGATGCACAACTTTTTATTTACATCTTAAAGCAGGTTGAAATCAACCACAACACAGACATGATTGGGATATGTGGAGATTATTACTTCTGATTATATAAAAATAAATTTGATAATTTTTAAAAAGTGATGCAACAAAAGGTTAAAAAGAAGTCCAAACCCAGTTTAGGTGCAACCGGCGTGGAAATGTGGTGACAAAACACTGTTTTCCTACCTGTGTGAGGCGGCTGAAGAGCTCCTTTCCCGTCGCTGTCCATTTCCAGCTGCCACTGATTACTGAGAGAGAGAGAGAGCTCAGCTCCCTCGTGAGAGCGTGTTCGGTCCCGCGAGCCAGTCAAGAAAAAGATAAAGTGCCTGGGTAATGAGCGCGCGCTGCGCCACTGCCGCCGCCTGCGCGACAGAGATACCGAATCACAGCGCGAGGGGATGAGAGGAAAACAGAAAGGGACCAAATATAATCAGTTGGTGAGAAAACAGAGCGGGGAGAATAAAAAAGCAGCAACTCACACCAGAGCTTTTAAAATGTTAAACGTTTTAGAGCAAATCACACAGGAAGAAAAATATGAAAACATGTTTTTT